GGTGTTTCACCCCCGTGCCACGTAAATCATATAAGGCCGTGGGACTTGCGCCTGATCTCTCTTTGGTAGTGCCAGATACCGTCTTATAATAGAGACAATAGAGAGTTCACCTGTGCTTGCGAACACACTCGTGCACCATAATCCTGTCCTGTGCAGGTAATCTCCGTTGAGACTCGCCACCATGACCGATCGATCGGGAAGACATTATTTTAGGTACTTAGTCTTTCAGAAGGACTAGCCCTCTTATCATTAGCGGCGACGAGAAGTCCTGAAAAAGAAATACTTTAGTAACTTCACCGCACGTGGACCTCACGAACCGATACTCTCCACAGCAAAAGTCAAAATATGCAGTAATTTCTTAAAAACTCATACATGCTATTTACTAAGCTCAACTGCCTTTAATGCCGCCCTACACTAGGCAAAAAACCCCTGAGATGAGAGGCTGCCAAATTTATTGGTTTAAAAAATTTTTTTATTAGGATTACGTACATAGCACGTACGTGGCTCATACTAAATACGTATCCATACATAGGACTTTGCCACTCCTCCAAGGGACGATGGAGATAATGGCGTTCACAGGACCGTTACAGGTTATATGCTGCAGTTATATTAGTAGTTTAGTTGTAGCATGAATGCGTTGTTTCGACCAGGGAAGTACCGCGCTCTTACGGAATACCAGCGTAAAATAGTTGCTTAATACTGCTGTGTTTCGTGTGGTGAGTATAGAGAACCGGAGACTCTTTTTACTGGAAACGAGGCATTCATCTTAATGCTCACGGGTGACAACGCATCTGCATTTTGATTCGTAATCGAGGTTAGATGTAAATGTCTATGGGCCACAGCAACCTTTTACCATCAGGTGGACTGTGTGTTCGTTTGTCGCCCTATCCTATAAAAACAGCCTACTAGCACTTTTTTACATCATGAAAGTCCGTGAAGCCCCACTTCAACGTCGCTAACACAAGGGCACTGATGAGGTAAATAGATCACCGCTAGTCGGATTACTCCATCAGTTCCATTCTCCATTCATCAGCTACGCGCAAACTTTTCCTGTCAAGTAATGAGGCAAGACTTACTTTATGACAAAGCATGTAAACAGCGCCTATACTATTACAACTATTCCTTAGTCTAAATGGCTAGAAGGTGTGCAAATTTAAGATTTAAGGTGTGATCTTGGTCATTCTGTTACCGTCACAGCCTAAAGTCCAATGTTAAACGTAGACCTCCCCATAGATTGGGGGCGGGGGGAGAATTTGCCATAGTTGCCACGCTTGGCAAGCGGGTTCGCAGCAGCATTTTATTGTGTTTAGTAGATATTAGGAATACGCTGCTCCCCATCTCCTGATTTGTTCCCTGTGTCCCTTCTCACGACGACCACGGGATGAAATGACGTAATGTACATGAGGGTAATATGGTCATCTTAAGCTTTACTGCCTTATAAAACCAAAACTAGGAGGATAGATACAAAAACACAAAGTAATATATTAAGAAAAAATTGTAAATAAGCTTTGGCAATTATTTGGAACACTTCGAAATTCAACTCAATAAAAACTAACTACGTTACGCCATATTAAAATCTACTAAAATACTTACAATGGCGTCGATAAAGCTGCATACTTTTGACTCTTTATTATTTGATTGACCGATGAAGAGCTATCGTGTCACAAAGCCTCCTATGCAAACAAGGCAGTAGTTTCTGAGTTATAAGAAAGTGACCAGATTAACCGGATGACCATATTACCCTCACGTACTATAGTAATTATTCTTACACCGCTAGTCCACGGTCTATTAGTCATCATGGTCATAAAGTAAATTATTTTAGTTTATTTAAACACTAGAACGATTAGTCCTATTCACAGAAAAAACTTGATTCCAGTTAGCATTTTCTGCCATCCCTTATATTTTATAATTAATATATAAATATTATTTTAATTGTTACGAATCTTACACATAATAACAAAACCAAAATGCACTAAAACATTAATTTCTTAATGATTATTAATAATAATAATTAAATAGAAATAAACATTACGAGCGCCGTAATTAACACAGCCTATAAAACCAGGATACGCGAATCGGCGGACAGATGGTTCGGACTGCACAGTAGCTTTATTGCCTATTAAAGAGCGATAGCTTTTAAAATCCCTGTAATGCCTCAGAATGTTCCATTCAGGTTAACATACTTAAATAGCTAGGCTAGTGCATTATTAAACCGACGAGATTTAAGACCGAACACAATTAACTGAGCCCCCGGTTTTCCTGTCCTAACTCAAATGCAAATGGCCTATCACACTGTATAAGGTAATAAGATTACATTGTACGAGGCCAATAGCTTATCTCTGCATCTCAAATGGTTTCAGTGTTTAATTTATAGAAATAAAATAGATAAATGGATATCAAAAACGTCCCGCGTTCCTTTAACATTTATCCATGGAATGTCTTTTATTTATGACTGATTAAAAAAGATTTAATATTTGACAAAAAAAATAAGTCTTAAAATATAGAAGAATAGAAATATAGTAGAGTATATTATTTATACATTACAGCCCGTCAGAAGTCAGCTGCTGAAAGCTGAACATAGGTATCACCCATATAAAAAAGAAAATCACTAAACTTGGATCCAGTCCAATAGTTAGCGCTGTGGTCGAGTATAGTGTTAATAAAATTGGATAAAGATCTGTTTACGTGCTAAATCCACGCCACAACTACTCGTGTGTTATGGTTGCAGCGAGTATGGGTTGGCTCGATTTGGGTAGGACCACCAGAATAAAAGCGTAAAATAGCAGCCTAATGCTGTTGTGTTTCGTATGGTGAGTGCAGAGATCCGGCGAGCATTTTTACTTTAAACGAGGCATTACATCTTAATATTAGGTGTTTAAGTTATGTATTAGTTATAAGGTTACATAATACTAAAGCATAATACAAATAATTAATTGTTTATAACACTATAGCCAAGAACTTCAAAACATAGCACCGGGAAAAAAAAGGCCAAACTAAATTTCCCAGATGAATGTCATACTAGAATATTTTACGAATATCCAAAGATGTGAGTACAAAAAGAGAAATTGGCATTGTATTTTTATCCTATTTATTTTAATTAATTTTAAAGGAATCCATCACGTTTGAGAAACTGAAAATATTTCGATGACATGTCTGAAGTCCGCCAACGGGCTTTTGGGTAAAGCGGCAGATTCTACACTACCCAAAAACTCTTTCACCAATTAAGACCTTATGAAGGAAAATTTTGGTAATATAAATTAATCTTACACAGGATTAATAACTCCTTATATTATCCAATAATAGTCCTTATATTTTTTTAATATTGTAAAAAGCTTTACCATGCGTTAATATCTCTTCATTGAAAAATTTCAATAGTTTCTGTTGTGCAGAATGTAACATTAACTAATATCTGATGAAAAATAAAGGTAACGATTAAAAAAGTGTAGAATTAAACATAAAATAGGTACCCTTTATTATAATTTATATAGCTTTTCTCCCGACGAAAGCTCGATAGGTGGGATTTAAAAGTTTATTGAACAATAAATTTCAGTATACTTCGCAACGGTACTTCAAGTATCTTTATGAGTTCGCAAGGCTTTATTGGTCTCTACACGTCCAGGTGTACAATTTTTATGTGCAAATATAAAACTTGTTCTTTGGTATGCAATGAGCCAATGATTTCTTCGCAAAGAGAGTATAATAATTGTACGAGCAGTATTGTAGCAAAATAATACCTTGATACCATTGTTGACACCATGCTGTAGAATTGTATTGCTATGGTGAACATTGCATGATATAAACCATAAGAATAGGTATCTACGGGCCACTGTATTCACTTCCCATTAGGTTGGCTGGACTGTATGTGTGCTCGTTTATCACTTTTACTTCTAAAAAGAAAGTTATTCAAGTGCTTTTCATATTATCACTACTATTTGTTTCAATAAACTAGAGTAACCTTTTAAACTTAATTTCTTAATCTCGCTCGCACCAACGCAAATTATTAGTTCTTATTAAAAGTGTTGATTTACCACGCATTTTTCGGTAAAGATCATATCTGAAAAATAAAAATAAAATATCAAAGACGTGCGAGGTCCAGCAATACGCATTTGAGCAGCGCAGCAGAATTTTTCTGTCCTAAACCCCTCTCAGAAATGAGACGCCTATGCCCAGTAGTCAGGCATATTATCTAGGCTGTAACATTACTTTATGGTATATGATCCCATTTGGAATTAAGTTTTTAACTTTTAAAAGATACGATAAGAGCTAATACTGTCGCACGTGATGGAAAATTCGTGAGGGATAAAAGGTTTAGAAACTATCCCACTTGATGGTATTTTCTAGGTGGTAGGACTGCCTAGGAGATTGTCTGGATAGGTACCACACTCTAATCTATCACTGCAGCCAAATGATAGAACTTTCAGTGCTTCCTCTCAAATGAGTATAGAAAGCCAGTATAATTACGGCTTGTAAGCTTGTCCATCTTAATCTTCTTTTTTTGTTTATTGAGTTCAATTTGTCAACTTAAAATTTATTTAAAAAAATAGTTAAACGCAGTGATGTAGCTTAACAAAAGTTAAAGTTTAACAAAAGTATATTCAAGAATGAATAGGTAATTCTTGAATATACTTTTGTTAAACTTTAATATTAAATTAAATAAAAAAGCTGTGTAGGCTTAAGAGAATAAACTAAAGTATACAGAGGGGAAACTCAAACAGGAGATAGACAGTGGCATCTTCCTGGTCACAATTTAACTACAATTAAAATAGAATTATGAATAATAAAATTAGAATAACTTAATAATATAAATACTAATTATAATTATAATTACAATAACCATTCAATTTTTCTTTAATTCGTAGCATGTCTTTCTGTAGTGCCTTCTAAAAATCGATTTGGCAAATTTGTATATTGCATTCGCATTTAAGTACATCTTTCACCAATTTACAAATAATTTAATGGTTCAGTAGTTCAATTAATATTGAGATCATTCATTTTTACAGCTATTCGTGAAGCGGCCTTTCTGTACGCTTTGACAGCCGCGGGAGTAGCTCACGCTATAGCTCGGGCTTGTGCTCAAGGCCGTTTGTTGTCATGCGGCTGTGATCCCCTCGGATACCGAGCCTCTCACGACCCCAGAAGAAGAGCGAGGGCCAACAAGTGGGAATGGAGTGGATGCTCCCACAATCTGGCATACGGTATCGAGTTCTCCAAGAAGTTTCTCGACATCAGGGAGCAGGTTGACGATCTGCAGTCGAAGATTAATGTTCACAACAATAACGCTGGGAGATCTGTAAGTAAAATTTATCGTTTTAACTATTCGAGTTATATAGAAAAAATAAACACTTTCATTAGATTTATTATAATGTGTGTCAATTAAACATTACCTTTTTTCCGAAGGAAAGTATAAGTTTTAAATTACGTTACTGTTACATAAATAAAAAATGGAAAACCCTGTACGGGATTATTTTTAATAAATATTGTTGTCATATTTAGTCCAGAAAACAATTGAAGTACATTAAAAATTCTTAACAAGTAATAGAATGCGCGTTTCCACTTTCCTTTGATCTGTCAAACAAAAATAGAGGGCTAAAAACATTATTTATCAAAACGCGCCACTACGGCTTGGATGGCACTTTAATTGACTTTATTAACAATGAGCATGCATAATTTCAACTTCATCACTTAAGCATGGATGGAAAGCTTTAAAGTAATAAAAAAATATTATTATTATATAAATTTCTTTTGGAAATGAAATTGTAACATGGCATTTAGAAAGAAAAAGAGAATCGAGAGTTTCTTGGCAGTTCTTCAAAAGGGTCTTGTTTTCCGAATCGGTTAAGATTTTGACGTTCATAAGAGCTTTTAACAAGACTAAATTGAATAAAATGTTTGATTTCGATTTCAAACAAAGAAAACATCAACTCAAACTTAATAAACACGAATTCAATTTTAATTATTACACTTTAATATACAATTATTACCTTTTAGCTACTACTCTATAAAAAAAATCCGAAAAGTTCTAAAAAATTTGTTTCATACTAGACTCTTTCACGGGCTGTTAATACTGTTGCCGACTATTATGTAGTTTGCATTTTTGGTTAAATTTTCCACAACTAGTATGTTGCCAGAGAAAAAAGTTATAACAATTTTATACCTTATAAGTTCACACCTGCCGAAATATACCAGGTAAAATTTTTTACCTGGTAATTTCAAGATAGAATTAGAAATTTTACGAGTGATCTACCTAAATATGGTAAAAAAAATAATTCAATCATTTTTAAGCATTCAAATTTCTATTTGAAAATTTCATATTGTTATATTTTTTTAACACTAAAAAATCTATAAGTCTAAAACTAAAGTTTAATTTTTTAAGTAATTGAAAAAATCGCTTATTTTTCTACTAACTACATTTTTTTTTAAATTTGCGTTAAACCTCCCTAACTGGGTTGATTTTGACCGGAGGGAAAAAAAGCATGAAGCCTTTTTTAAAATTTCAAGATCTACACATTTTTATTAGAAATTGTTTGTCAAATTTTTATTGTTTTCAAGTAATTGCATAAAAACAGTTTTGACAATTTTTTTCAACCCTTGACGGGGAGTTGCAGACTCGAAAACCTTTACACATTGTTTTGTATCATTATAACTACATTATATCAAAAATGCAAACTTGAATGCCAAAATTTTGATTTTAGACCTTATTTGACTGGAGTGGACTGATTACAAGACAAAGACTTATGTTTTTTATTTTCAATGAAATGCAAACTTGAATGCCAAAATTTTGATTTTAGACCTTATTTGACTGGAGTGGACTGATTACAAGACAAAGACTTATGTTTTTTATTTTCAATGAAGTGTGTTTGTTATATTATGTACAGTCGCCTTACCGAAATGAGCTCACTGCTTATATTATATACATTGCTTATTTATTATATTATATATCGATTTTTATATAATAATATAAGAATCGATATAGGGATGTACCAAAATAAACTTTTTGTATAATGATTTCTTACATTCACGAAAATATTGCACATTGATTAAAAGTTAAAACAAATTTTACGGATTTTATCATTTAAACTTTTTGAATCTGACACACGGTTCATGTCAAAAAGTTCCAGGCTCAACATGTTCACATATGAAACGTACTCGTGCTACGATCGCCAAGCCTACTGAATGACACAAGCGAATGGCAACGTGTTTCTTCATTTTCTTATTCTTTTTTCGTACAAGAACTTCAAGTTTTATTTTCTTGTTTATCAATTAGTTCCACCGAATTTGAACTTTTTCTGTAGACGGTTTACTTCGTTCTCCCATTTCTTTCTGTTTTATTTTTCTGTAGATGGTTTACTTCGTTCTCCGATTTCTTTCTGTTTTGTTATTTTTCTGTAGATGGTTTACTTCGTTCTCCGATTTCTTTCTGTTTTGTTATTTTTCTGTAGATGGTTATTCTTCTCCCATTTCTTTCTGTTTTATTTTTCTGTAGATGGTTTACTTCGTTCTCCGATTTCTTTCTGTTTTGTTATTTTTCTGTAGATGGTTTACTTCGTTCTCCGATTACTCTCTATATGTTTTTTTTATAGAATAGGGGTAAAAAACGAGCACACAGTCCACCTGATGGTAAGTATCTACTTACCATCAGGTGCTGTGGCACATAGACATCTACATTTATTCTCAATTAAGAATCCAAATGCAAATGCGTTGTCACCCGTAAGTACTTAGATGGCATGCCTTACTTCTAGTAAAAAGGATCTCCAATTTTCTAACCTCACCATACGAAACACAGCAGCGTTAAGCTGCTATTTCACGCTGATATTCTGTGAGAGCGTGGTCCTCCCCTGTCGAGCCGACCCATTCGTGATACAACCATAATATAGCTGCAGCGTGGCTCTACCACGTGGTAGAAACATATTTTATCTTAAGTTTACTACTATACTTAATTTTTGGTCCTTTAATAATTATCTTCATCATTAAAGTCCCTCACATGTCCACTACAGAAAATAAGGCTAACCCGAAGATTGTCAATGTCAAAAAGCATGAGCCTGAGCTTACTGCATCACTTCATGTTTCATCAAGCCTTTACTCAACCCGGAAGGGATTCGCCCGACGCTACGCTTTCCAGTACCAGTCTGCCACATGAATTAGAAACTTTCCTTTCCGCCCTTTACCAGTCCTTCGTCCTATATGGCTAAGCCAGTTGCTCTTATCATTCAGATCTTTTTGATGATATAAAAAGAACTCCGGGTAATAAAACGGACTGACCTAAAATCATAGTCTAAATTATAACACCATTAAATTTTATAACCTTAAACATCTTTAATAGTCTTAAAAATAATCACAAAAAGATTTCAATGGCTTAATCAGACGTACCAAATAACAGAGGGCGACTGGGTTGTTTTCCTTGACCATAAAACAACGTGACACTTAGCGTACCTCTATTTTGACATAACGACAGTTATTATTGCCAAGATTTTAGTAGTCCATTTTAATATGAAACTCAAAATGGTATTAGACAAAGAAAGATGTCCAGTTCCAAATGGGTCCGATTAGACTAGTTATTTTGTAGTTGAAATTATGTAGGTGCCCAAATGGTTCACAGAGGCGTCAGACGTGGAATGCAACACTTATTTAGTTCGAATTGAAGAGCGGTTTGTGGGCGGAGCCCTTCGTAATGACCAATCTGGGTGGTCCGTTTGACTGTTATGGCTGTACATGTCTATAAAATATAATATTGAATCGCTTGCAGCTTGGACTCCCGGCTCGACGCATTTAACTTTTTGTAAATGCATTAATATAAGAATGAAAATGGAATGAAAAAATATGCTAGAGCAATACAAGTACTTAACCGATTTCGCAAAAGTGAAACAAAATAAATTGGGGTCAGCAGTCGTATTTGATTTGTAACTGGGTCTTGGCCTATAGTTGATTCAATTTATTTATTTCCTTTTGCCAAATATTCAGCATAAATAAAACTAAATGATTGAAGTTGTACCAGCAATAAAATATTTCAGTATTGATTTCGTTATTCAATGTCCTATTACTTTTTGGAACGAAATGATTGAATACATCGAACTCTACGAAAGTTTACAGTGCTTAATTGATGAGTATCTATTTTTTTAATTAAGTGAATTCAAATAATACATTTTTAGTTTAAACCAAATCCGTATTATTACAAAAAGTTAGTTTAAATTAGTCTCAGGTTTAAACTAGAGTCTGTATCAATGAGGAAAGGTTCCGTGGAAAATTATTGTCAAATTCCATTTTTCAAAATTTTATTATGAATTGAATAAAACTGCTTTTATGGATTTTATCGCGTTTAATTTACTTAATTTTAGTACCCGAAATTTCGGGTGATTTCCAGCGTCGGGTATTGAAAAAAATAAATTAAACGCTATAAAATCCCTAAAAGTAGTTTTGTTCAGCGTCTAGTGTTCGCGTAAATATAAAGTAAATGTAAAAAGTGCCGTTTCTATATATTCTATATATGTTATATAATCAGAACAACCAAGGCCCTATGCCCGTTTAAGATTCAAAATGTAGACACTTTTTCATCCCCGAGGACAGCAGTGGAATGCTCAGTTACCAGCTAAAAACAACATTATGCGACTATTTAACTAGTATTGTTTGAGAGTGTATGTAGCACTTCCCTGGTCGAATTGATCCATGTCTGCAACCATAATACAAAACAGCTCCGTTCAACGTGGTAATAGCTTTAATCAAATCCATCTCATAAATCTGGCATTATTACCTAATCATAATTTCGAACTGAGTGATGTGACATCTAGAGACAAAGACGTATTCAGTTCTTCCAACACCGTGCTTCTGTCAAATAAATATGTCAGAACCATTGATTTGTTATTGTCCAATAAGTATAGTCGCAATGACAGCAACAAACCAAGCGACAGCTAAGCCAAAATACCGAACCTACCGTACGGGATTACTTCTAATAATTTAATAGGCCTCTTCGGTCTAATAATAAACATGTCAGGCTAAACTTAAATACAACAAAGCCAACTTATATTGGCTTCGATAAACGGTTTGTTTCAATCAAAATTCGCTTTTATTACCACGGTATCAAGAGTGTAAACTTTTTGGTCGATAGAAGGACTAATTTGACTAAGAATATTATATTAGTATTTGTTACCAAATCTGACATTAAAGCGGCATACCACGTCTCGTGCTTACTTATTAGTGGGATTTACGATTAATTCAATTTTATTTACGTCCTTGCGTTTTTTATAATACAAATACGACGTGTAGATACAAATTATTTAATTTGTAATACGTTTATAC